GTAAAAAAAAATTTTTTTTGCAGTGTCTCGATTAATATAAAGTATACTTATTTAAAAAGAAATATTGCATGTCACACTGGACAATACAACTTGTCACTGCTTGAAATTACATGCTACCCAACCAAATAATAAGGTAGTAGTTAGGGTCGCTGTAAGACATGTTTTGAAGCTACAAACAAGATTCACTTTAACTGAAAATCTATTTGAACAAGAAAATAGGATACATTTCAGATTTTTAAAACATCCAAAATTTTATGTCATAACTTTGGTTTACTTTTTTTTTTTTTTTTTTACTGAAAATGATGGTGCAATGTACAGATATTTGTGTCTACGAATGTAGTTTTGCACAAGGTCGCGTGTGTGTGCGTGCGTGTGCGTGTGTGTGCGTGTGTGTGCGTGCGTGTGTGTGTGTGTGTGTGTGTGTGAATATGCTGTGTGACTCTTGGCCCTGAAACACAAACATATCAGAGGCCACCCTCTGCCCCGATAATCCTTTCAGATAGAGGTGATACACACACACTAAAGAGAGGTAATTAATAGTGCCACAGAGCAGCTCTTATGCACAGAGGATTGGATGAAGGAGGGGTCGCCCTGTCGTCTTTTTTTTGTTCCCCCTGTCAGTCTTTCTCCCTTTTCCGCCACATTCGAGCATGAGCGTGATAACAGGAGCTCAAGGTCAGGGAGGGGGGCACAGCGTATGTGTGATGGATGGAGGGTCTTCTTACACACCAATTTGCATGAGATATCAACAGGAATGAGAAAGAAAAATAGATGGATAGACGGGTGAAGGTACAGTAGAAAGGAAGAAAGAGACAGGTTAAAGGACAAAGAGATGAATGAACAACAGAAAGATTCAGAAGTAGTGAGAAGTGAGCATTAGAAACATGGGTAGAGAAATGGAAGTTTAAAAGCAGAGCTGTTTTTGTAAATTAATGGAGGCACAATGAAGAAATTTTACATTTTCTGAGGAAAATATGAGCGCTGCAGTTGTTACAGTATGTGATGGCTAGAATTAGTGGTTGTCAGTGGTTTTTAGCACATTGATATCTAGTTGGATTGGGAATGGAGAACCGGATCTTCTCTTAACTGTTCTTAAACGTCTGCTTTCTTCCACAGATGTGGATGGAACATCATACTAAAATACTCAGACAGCATGTCCTGAGTCTACAGGAAAAATACGTTTTCGCTTCATTGTAGTTTCAGTCTGAATTGATAGTGATGGGAGAGAAACTGCAAAATAATACAAAAATAAGAAATCTACGTCTTTCTTTTAAGTTGTTCTCACTGGCTACTCATAAAAACAATCAAACGCTGCAACCAGTATGGTCCATATTGCAAACAAATGACTCATATGAGCTGATTCGTTTTAATGAATCAGTCGTAAAGATGCTGGATTTCATCAACGATTCACTGAATCAGTCGGAGTTGATTGTGACTCACTGAACCACAAGTCATTATTTTTGTCTTGCCCAACTCAAAATGATAGAGAACTGTGTACTGTTATGTTTGCTTAAGACTTCTAACATTTAAATGAATCTAATTATTGAGTGATTGTTAATATGGCAGCAAAAAAAGATACACTACTATTCAAAAGTTTGGGGTCGGTAAGATTTTTTAAAATGTTTTTGAAAGAAGTATCTTTATTCTCACATATGTGACCCTGGAGCACAAAAGCAGTCTCAAGTCGCTGGGGTATATTTGTAGCAATAGCCAAAAATATATTGTATGGGTCAAAATGATTGATTTTTCTTTTATGCCAAAAATCATTAGGATATTAAGTAAAGATCATGTTCCATGAAGATATTTTGTAAATTTCCTACTGTAAATATATTAAAACTTAATTTTTGATTAGTAATATGCATTATAAGTTTAAAGGTGATTTTCTCATATTTAGATTTTTTTGCACCCTCAGATTCCAGATTTTCAAATAGTTGTATCTCGGCCAAATATTGTCTTATCCTAACAAACCATACATCAATGGAAAGCTTATTTGTTCAGCTTTCAGATGATGTATAAATCTCAATTTTGAAAAATTGACACTTAAGACTGGTTTTGTGGTCCAGGGTCACATATAGTGCATTCATTTGATCAAAACAGTAATATTGTGGAATAGTATTGATTACAATTTAAAGCAACTTTGTTCTGTTTTAGCATATTTTTTAAATGTAATTTTAATGTATTCCTCTGATGGGGGGGAACTGGTGGTGTCTTTGTGATGGAGATGGAGCAGTCTCCAGCGCTGAGCTGATAATGACCAACGGTTCTAATAGCATTCACCCCTCCACCCTTTAACCACTCAAGCGGAAAACGGACAGAAAGAAAGAGAGAGAGCGTGTGGAACGGAAGAAGATATGTTTAAAATATGACGTGGTGTGTGTCCCGGCTTATTGAAAATGCGCGTATATGAGTGTGTGTATGTCTCGACGCCCCTTGAGGAGACATTAAAAGACAATATGTGTGTAGTTCTCGGCCACACACACACACACGCAAACACGTTCGCACCAGTCGGCTTATCCTCTTTATCGTGCTGTATTTACGGAGGGCGATGGAGCGTGAAACGCCTTTAGGCTCCTCGGGACCAGATGGAGAAACACACACATACACACAGTCACACACACACACTCCAAAGGCGGCCTTATCACCAGCGCAAACAGTAATATTGTGGAATAGTATTGATTACAATTTAAAGCAACTTTGTTCTGTTTTAGCATATTTTTTAAATGTAATTTTAATGTATTCCTCTGATTGTCTTCAGTGTCACATGATCTTCAGAAATCATTCTAATATGCTGATTTGCTGCTCAAGAAACATTTCTGATGATGATCAATGTTGAAAACAGCTGTGCTGCTTAATATTTATGTGGGAATGCATTTTTTCAGGATTCTTGATGAATAGAAAGTTTAAAAACAGCATTTATTTGAAATTGTAGCAGTATAAATGTTTTTACGGTCACTTTTGATCAGTTTAATGAATACTTGCTGAATAAACGCATTAATTAATTTTTTCTTTTTTTTTTCTTTTTTACTGAACCAAAATTTTGTAAAGTAGTGTACATTCTGAAAATTCAGATTTTTTTGTTGTTGTTCTTCTTATAGTTCTACTTTTTTAATGAAAAAGAAAAAACATATATAACCAAACAATGGTATTTTCTTTCTTTCTTTCTTTCTTTCTTTAACTGGAAAAGGGCTACTAAATAGGTTATAGGAATTGTACTATGAATCAAAAGAACTGAAATTGCTATGTGGAATAAAAATTAAAACTAAAACCAACAATTTGCCAATAAATACATCCGATAAATTACATAAATAAATTCCCGAGTTGCTAGGTGGTTTCTAGGTGGTTGCTTAGTGGCCCAAGTACACACACACACACGCAAACACGTTCGCACCAGTCGGCTTATCCTCTTTATCGTGCTGTATTTACGGAGGGCGATGGAGCGTGAAACGCCTTTAGGCTCCTCGGGACCAGATGGAGAAACACACACATACACACAGTCACACACACACACTCCAAAGGCGGCCTTATCACCAGCGCATTACTGGGATTTATTGATACCCTCGGTAATCACTCCCTTATATCACCTCAAAGAAAAGAAAAAAATACAGATTATATGAATGTCTGCGAGAAAGTCTGTGGGAGGAGGAGACAGAGTGGATGATGGGAGAAAGAGAGTGTGAATGTGTTCATCATTCACTAGCGAGATGGGAAATGTAAGGGAGGTTTATAATAACAGAACAGAGTGAAAGGAATTGAGTGAAGTCGAGTAATATAACGCAGGTAGTCGGCTGACATACGCGCTCACAAAGGGCGCAGCTGAGGGGCCGAGGTGCAGTCACACACCTGACATGAGCAGAGTTGTATTCTTGTGTGTGTTTAGAGAGTCTTCTGGTACTGGTTGCGGCTGATTTCATGTCACCCTAATTGGAGGTTTCTTGACCTTACTGCTTTAACTTGTCACACAGTAGATGCTTCTGATACAAATGGGCACATCAACCTTTACTGTTACGAGTATAGCCTGCTACAAGATGTTTAGTAGAATGTCGAAGCTGCTCTTTTTCACACTATGAAAGCCTGAAGTGACCAGCGACTGTGAAAAATGCATATTAAAGCATCATAAAAATGGTCCATTGTTGGAAAAGAGCAACATTCTACTAAACTTCTCTTTTTGTGGTCCACAGAGGATAAAAACTGGGAGTAAATAATAACAGAACGTTCATTCTTAGGTCAATTATCCCTTTAAACAAGTGGTTCTCAACCAGGGGACCGGGGCCCACTAGAGCTCCTCAGGGAACTTTCAAGGGGCCCTCGAGGGCTTAGAATAAGCTAAAACAACAAAAAACTCAAGATATTTTTTAATTGATCCCCTTTTTTCTTTGAAGAACTGGGGTTCCCACTGGATATACAAGGAAACCTCAAATTAAAAGTGCGTTTTCTATACCAGGAAAAGTCATGTGAATTAATTAATGAAGTCTAACATAATGGGCATTTTTGTAATGAACTTATATTTTTTATCTGTAAAATATTTTATTGTGAGTAAAAATATTTGTAAAAATCCTTATTAGTAAATCATGGATTACTGGAAGAGTAATGTAAATTCATTGGTTAAAAAATGGGATCGCTGAAGAACTTCCAGTTCCTAAAAATATTTAAATCCTGAAAATTAAATCTATTTTAAATTTATAAAAAAAATTTTTAAAAAAAACTGGCATGTCTGTAGATTAAAGTAAGTTTTCAAAGTGTAAATGGGACTGGGGGCCTTTAAGTATCATTGTGACAATCAGGGGGCCTTGGGGTCAATAAGGTTAAGAACCACTGTTGAAATTGTACAGTACTGAGTGTTAATGAAGGCACTGCTCACTATTTTTCTTATAGACTTCAAATATAAGATTTAATGTTTTTTATGCATTTTGCTCAAAGGTGGCAGTCAAACTCTCATTCTGAAGATTTTTGTGTTCAGTCTCCTTCTGCTTCTAACTCTGTATCTTGTTGTTTCTCTGTAGACCACTAATGGACCCCTCCGCAAGCCCAGTGATCCAAATTCCTGCAGGAAACCTGCCTACTGCTACAACTGCTCTAAGAAAGGACACTTCGGCCATGTAAATGGATCAGCCTCATCTATGCTGATTGCTGGTTGCTTTCTGCAATAAATAACAACCGCAACAACCACTCAGCAAAATATTTTAAATACCACATTTCTAAACACACACACACAAATCAGAACCCCTCATTGACCGCTGTGTTGGTCCTTGTTACTTCAAACTGCTCTATTTGTTATACTGAAAACCGTTTTTACCATTAATCTATATTCATACACAATATGCTAAATAAAGTACAGCTGTATACACTAGGTTGAGGTCAGGATTTTTTTATATAGCTTTGTATACTTCTATTCAGCAAGGATGCTTGAAAATGAAAAAAAAAAATCTATTTAAAAACAAAAGCTGTTCTTTTGAACAATCTATTTATCAAAAAACAAAGAGAAAAAATTGTATCATGGTTTCCACAAAAATATGAAGTAACTGTTTTCAACAGTGATAATGTAGGGCCCTATGAAATCAGTTTTTATTTTTCCCAAATTCAGTTTTATTTATTTTTTCAAATTCTGTTTTTCCAGACTTTTCTAGACTCTGTTTTAATGGTTAAATTACATTTTATTCATCAAAAAGCATGTCTAATTAATTGAAATCATGAAACTTGCACAACTTAACAGTAATTTATTAAAAGTTTTTTTTTTTTATGCATTTTTAAGGCCCTGTGAATTATTTACTTAATTATTACGTTTTATTTAAAAAAAAATTTTAAATCTCAAATTTAGTTGTATTTTTACCAAATTCTGTTTTCCATTAATTTTCTGGATTCCATTTTAGTGGTAATTAAAAGCATCTCTAAATAATTTATTTTATAAAAAAAATAATTTATTATTATTTTATTTCTTTTTTTTTCACAGAAATATTGTGTTGTGCATTTACATTTTTCTGGTAAATATTCCTTAAAAATGATGTTTTAATAATAATTTTATTAGTAGTAGTAGTACTATCGTTACATTAAGTAATATTTTCTGTCACAGTTTTTTCAAGTTAAACCAAACTTTTATTTTGACGGGTTGCCGTGAAGACCTTTAAGTTTCTGTTTGTATATGATATGACAATAGATTTTCTTAAAAGAAACGGTAAAATGCTCATGAAGTGACTGTGTGTGTTTTCATTAATCCATCCAAAATTTGGAAAAATTCCATGACATTCCGCGTTATACAGTAAATTCCATCTTTATGACTGGATTCTGCGATTCCATCCGCATTTTCCGCATCGGGGAAATCATAGGGCCCTAATGATGATAATACTAACAATTTTTCTTGAGCAGCAAATCAGCATATTAGAATGATTTCTGAAGGATCATGTGACACTGAAGCCTGGAGTAATGATGCTGAAAATTCATCACAGGAATAAATGACATTTTAAAATATATTCAAATAGAAAACAGTTATTTTAAATTGTAATATTTCACAATATTTCTGTACCATGATATGAGATTAAAGTGTGTGTTTTCTGCAGGAATGCACTGAGAGGAGAATGTATAACGGGACGTATCCCACCCTGCCATTTATTTCCTATTATGACACAAAGAAGGACATGAATTGCCGGAATCATCGACTTAAAAAGCAGGCCAAAGGTTTGTTAGATAGATTCTTTCTGATAAGTTGAATTGATAAAGGCTGATCTAAAGATTGAGACCTAAAGATTTAATGACGTGTGTCTCTTACAGAACTTCAGGAAGCCGGATTGATTTCACCTGATGGAGCTTTCGTTACAAATACCCCCCAACCGCCCAGAAAGAAACAAAAAATCAGCCAAAAACAGTCTCCATACGCACACAACACTCACACCAACAACCAGCTCACGCCGAAGAGACGCATCGCACACACACCCAAACACCATCCACAAGCGCACAAACAGAACACACACTTGAATTTCAAGCAGAGCTCACAAACACCAGGAAACCACGGCAAACACACGCCTCAGAGCAGGTTTAAACCACAAAAGCAAAGCCAGAAGGAAGCCAAAAAGAAAACACGATCTGAAGGTATAGTTTTAGATGAAGACGCAGACTTTCCTAGAGGCTGTGAAAAGAGCCCTCACACGACAAGAGTTTTTTCATCACCTCGCAAAGCCAATGTGACGCTGAATAAGCCCTTTGCACTGGAAAAGAGCAATAAAAAGAAACCGGATAAAATATCGAAAAAGAAGGAGAGGAAATGGAGAAAGAGACAAAAAAAAGCTACAAAAGGTTCTTCCGCGTATCCGTCCGATGAAAACCTCTTTCTGATTAAACAAAGAAAGGTATGAAGATAAAAAAGGCAAATAGTGTGAATGGGACGTCAGGTGATTCTCCGTCTGCTGGTGGTTGGTTTTGGCCCATCTTCCTCCATTCACATGCTTTTGTGTACAGTATTAGGGCTTTTTAGGGTTGTCCAAATCAGACCTCTCGCCCAAATTCAGTAAACTGCTCAGTGCTTGACTGCATTATATGATGATATTCATATATTAAATTGACAATAAAAAGTGCATAATTTTTTTGGGGGGGAAATGTAATACTTTTAGCAAACATCAGATATTTTAAAAGCAGGTGTCCTGCTTGTTCATGACGAGTGTATAGAGTTTTATGTACATGCTGACTTCTGTAACATCATGATTAAATTAAAGTCTGTTTGTATTGATAATCTGTTTGAGATCTTTTGTATTAACATCTTTTTTAATGAATATTCAATTTTATTTTAAGGTAAAATGCAGGCTTAATATGCCTTAATCTTCTGAAAAGCATGACTGTAGCACCATCAAAACCCTGTCCTCTGGTATTTTTTTTAAGAATCCCACCAGTACAACCAATGGTTGAGTTTGGGGGCGGGGCTATCTGTTTGGCCAACCAATGGCCAAAGTGGAAACCTGTTTAAAAGCAGTCATTATTTCTGCAGTTTTTTCTAAAATGAAATATACACATTCTGTGCTTGTATATTTTTGCTTTCCAAACAGGATGTGCATTACATTGATACACCAGTAGGTGGCGACAAGTGTCTTAATCAGTAAGTCTTTCAATCATTCGCTCAACCAATTCCTCAAACAACACCGATTCATTCAGAAACGAAATAACACTATGGTCTTTTGCTCAGAGATGCTGAACGAGTAAGTTCTGCGTTGACTTCGTTTAGAACTGTTATTGTTGGTGGATCAAAATCAGGGCTGCTTTTGACATCACTTTTCTCACGCTCTCACGAGTCGACACAACGATGCGGGATTCATTTTCGAATGGGAGAAAAATATAATTTCTCAAAATAGATGTTCAAGCAATGTAAATGCAGACTAATAGATTAATAGAAAAATATTAGAATTTTCGTGTCAAAATATTGTTTAAATGCGGTTGCAATTATTTATAAAAGTAATGACTAGTAAATCTTGAAATTCTCTCACTGTACATTGCTATTCTTGTTGTGGTAAAAAGCTAATAGTTTTGCAGCACTGCGGCAGTTATTTTACATAATTTTATGATATACGTATATTTATAGTATTAAAAATAATATATATATATATATATATATATATAATAAACATTTTCACTCCAACTTGAACTCAAAAGTTGTCAGCCCTGCAAAATAGGAAATGGCAATATTATGTAAAGTTATTCAAAATGAGCTTATTGTTTATTGGACTCGCAACCATGCTCTTGATCTGTGTGGCTGTGATTTCCTTTATTTAAAAAATCTGTCTGTTGAACTGAAATCTTACTTTCAGACAAAAAATATGTGCTCCACCTTTCACCTCTCTCCCGTGATTATCTTCTTGAGCTCCAGGTGTTGTTTAGGGCTGTTCAGCTTTAAAGTAATGACAGGCAGCAAACAGCTGGTTAAGTGGTTAAACCAGTGCCATTTCCTTCACTTTCCCTATTTTTCACTTTTTAAGATCCCACATTCCTTCTTATTATTCCATGCAATTCCTCTTTTTCGCTTTCATGGGTTGTGTTTTTGCTAAGAACAATATTTGAGCTCCAGAAGAGTCCAGATTTGTTCAATTGTTCTGTGAATGCGTGTAATGTTGTTCTGCTCTGCAGGACCGTGTGTGTGTGTGGACATTTATGTGAAAGTGTGTGCCATCGGGCTTTTATTGCCTGAAAAGTTTTTCAACAGTAAAAGAGGAGAGATGATTTCTTAAGCCAAATATAAATCCAACACCAAACATGGCAGTCCAGCTTACATGCAGAAAGAAATATCTGATTTTTTTTCCTGAAGATTTGCAGACAGTTTGTAAACTCAAGAGTCCCCCGAGGCTTGGCTGAGATGTGTAAGAGAGATACAGTACGATGTGAGTGAAGAAACATATAGTCACTATTGAAACGGAGTCACACAAGCTCACTCACACTGATTTATTCTGACTAATTCTTTAGAAGTGATTACTCAGGCTTTTTACTGGCATAGTTGGCCACAACACATTCCCAGCACTTTGACTCAACATACAGCCCTCAAAACATTCACAGTCATTCACTTAAGTGTAATTAAACCATGCTCATCACCATTTTACTTTCAAGGACAGTATTTGCCCGTAAAATCTGTTTTAGGTCAAGATAGTAAGAACTCCTTCCTCTTGAAACTAAATTTGCCTGCAGATCTGAATCTCGCCTCCACCACTGTGGTCCATTTCTGTATGTGACATGTCTTTTTCATTAGTCCAGTTCTCAGTGCAGACCAACTAGGGCTTAATAAAAGCTATATATATATAAATGGCCAAAGGCTACAAAAGCATATAAATATAGCTATGAATATAGCTTTAAACCCATGAAAGTAATAAAATAATGAAAAATGGGAAGAGTTTGTGGTTAAAATAGATGTTTAGAGTTTTTTACGGTACTTTTTTATGGACTCTGCATATGTGCTGATTGCTTGCCAGAAAATGTCACTCGATGCTGAGCATGGCCAAGTTTATGGAAACCATGACAGAGATGGAATATGATTTAAAAAGAAAAAAAAAAGTTTTGGTTTGAACTGAAAATGTAATTGATATCCTCAAACATTTCTGTAGCAGTGTTATTTTAGTATTATTTATATATTATTATTATTATAGTATTCATTGATGTTTTGAATGAGCTTGTATTATTTTTATTTCAGTATGCATTTTAATTTTAGTTTAAGTTTGAGTAATTTTTTATTTGTTATTTTTAGCCATTTTTATTACTTTTTAATAGATTTTAAGAATAAAATTATTTAATATAAATTTTAGTAGTTTTTGTATTTTTCATCTAATATTTTATTTCAATTATCACAAACCATTTTTAATAGTTTTAGTTAACAACAACACTTCTCTAGTTTTGTCTCTAGTGTTACTGCACTTGCATTAAAGTCTTAAATCACACTGATCATGTCAACATTTTATGTTTTCACTGCCTAGTAAAGAAATACATATAAAACGAAGGCCTTGGTTTTTAATGCACCCAAGTGAAATAAGACGTCTAGTCAAGTTTGTGTGTGATCTGGTTAGCATTAAGTTGAATTTTTTGGGATTTTTAAAAAAAATTTTATCAGCTTGTGTCAGTACAAGGTCTTTGACAAGCGATGTACTAATAACAGCAAAAATAATTTACTCAGGTGTTATTTAACCATTAGGAACAACTTTCATAGTGTCTATAGCACATGCAAAAGAAAACTGAACTCAGTTCTTTGCATTTTGCTGCTGTGGCTGCACACTTCAACCAAACATGAAAATTTGCTGAAAATGTACTCACCCTCATGTCATCCAAGATGTAGTTGAGTTTGTTTCTTCATGGTAACAGATTTTGAGAAATTTCTTACATCACTTGCTCACCAATGGATCCTCTGCAGTGAATGGGTACCGTCAGAATGAGACTCCAAACAGCTGATAAAAAAACGGGCAATGGTTTGAAGTTAAAAACATCTTAATAATTCATCTGTTTCTTACAAACACGCACCTTTTCTCTTCACAAGACATTAATTGATGGACTGGAGTGGTGTGGATTACTTGTGGATTACTGTGATGTTTTTATCAGCTGTTTGGACTCATTCTGACGGCACCCATTCACTGCAGAGGATCCATTGGCGAGCAAGTGATGGAATGCTACTTTTCTCCAAATCTGTCCTGATGAAGAAACAAACTCATCATTTCAGCAAATTTACATTTTTGAGTGAACTATTAGGTTATCCAGATATTTCTTTCTATAAATACTGCATACTCCACATCCTTCTAGTGTTTGACACTGCATTTTGCATACTAGGGAAATATGAATATTTGTACAGTGGGAACGAGACTGAGTTACAGGGTTCCCACGGCCATGGAAAACCTGAAAATAACATATTACAGTTTTGATTTCCATGCCTGAATATATCATGGAAATACAGTTTTTTTTTTTTTCTGCTCCTCTCTCAAGTATTTCATTGGCTAGACCTTGCTCTTTGTGAGTGCTTGTGTAGAGTAAATCTCGCCCTCAAGCCAGTGAGATACCATCAGTCTCGTCTGTCTGTTCAGGGTCTTATTGGAGATGTTTGGACACTAATATAATTAATTTAAATCTTTCTAAAAAGTCATGGAAATTCACTTGTAGGTGTTCCCCTGCTCTCTCTATTGACAGTGCTGTGTTTGTATTTTGCAACTGCATCCTCTCAACAGAATCATTCCACCTTTAGATTCGGGTTGTTTGATTTAGTACACTTGGGAGACATCCACTGTTATTATGTTATTTACTGTCCATACTAATCCACAGCGGGCATGTAGAATGCAGGGCTCAGAGCTGTTATTAAGTATGCTTAGTACTGACATTCCTCTCCAAATCCATGTACTTTTGGATGAGTCTCTGTCGAGTTTCCAGCTATCTGTTTCTGTGTCTTAAAGAACTGTCTGCGAAGGCTGTCAGAGCCTTGTCTGCATTTTTATTGTGACTTGGATATTTCCTCCAAGCAGTCGCGGAATGCATTTCTCTCTGTTTACCATCCAGAAAGATAAGCAAATGTGACTATTAACCATGTAACACACTATCCACAATCATAAACATGTACGGATGCACGTCATCTAAATCACTGCACTGCAACAGGTGTGTAGTCGACAGTGTGCGGATTGGGAATGTGTCCATTTTATGCTTGTAAATCAGTGTAAAACCCCACTATAACCCTCCTTCCTCCTCTCAACCGGTGCTTCATACTGTAGCTTCCAGGCAGAACTTAATTTTCATAGAGAGCTCTCATTGCAGAAAACGGCTAACAACATCAGTGGTGGTCACTCAGTCTAAGCAGATCTAATAAAATAATAACTGCCAGTAAGTGGAGTTTTTAACTTAAGATGATTTGACTTTAGACAAATTATGCTTGGTCTTAAATCAGACTCAGTCTCAGTTTTTTTTACTATATCAGATTTGTGAACAATATTTGAGAGAAATAGGCCTTTTGTGTACATAGAAAAAGTCTTAGATCTTTGAGTTCAGCTCATGAAAAATGGGGGCAAAAACAAACGTGTTGCATTTATAATTTTGTTCAGTGTATTTTAGTGTTTTTTTTTCATCCTGAGTATATAATCCATTCTCTCTTTCACTTTCTTTTGTAAAAACTTCAATCTTCTGTATCAAACTTACTTACTGTAACTCAATATCAGATTATCTTCAATAAAAACCAAGCTTTGGCTTGAGATGACTGTTATGAC